TCAATTGGGGTTCCAATTAGGCTGAAATAATCATTTGGTTGATGGGTTTCCTTCTTTTTAAGAAAAAATTTCCCATCCTGATATCGGAATTTGGTTTTGTACGAGTTGATATTTCTCTTAAAATATATTTCGTGCAAGTTAATATTTTTCGTTCTGGATTTCTTACCTTTGGATTTGCTTTTAGTGCCAATCCAGTTAATTTCCTTTTGAATTTTCACCTAAATATTACTCCTCTTTTGGGTAAAATTTGTGAGATCTTCAATTGATGTTGCTTTTGCAGAGGGATGTTCCGCTCAACAACCTTGTAATCCATGAACAAAGCTTCTAATTTCTTCAGTTTATGTTCCTTTTTGCATGACTTTGTGCGGATCTCACTATATTTTCAATCTTGATGTGTGCTTTATTCTTGCAGCTATCCATTTTTTTTTTTTTTTAAAAAGAAGAAAAACTAGCATGTGGGGATTGTTTGATATTGTTTGTAAATAACTATATATGTATTTGCACCGTGTTTGATTGATTTTGAAAAAGGAATGTAAAATTCATGATTTAGTTTTGTGCCATTGAACTTTGTTTTCATTCATTTATCCTCACTTTTATTTACCTAAAATTACAAGTTTAGATCTTTTTCTTGAGTTCATCCAGTAGATAGATCCATAGATGGTGTTTAAATTGTTATGCTTATTAGTTTTTATTAAAGGAGGAAAACAAGGTGGTAGCAATATGGGTGCAAAAGGTTAAAACGACTAATATTATGGAACAGAGGGAGTAGTAGACACTTGTCAGTTTCCTCATTCTATTTAGGAGCATGGATGCTCCCAAACACAATTAATTTAGTATCTATATTTTCTAAATTTGATGAATGTCGAATTAATGGAAACTAGATAAGATATTTTAATTTGCAGCAAGAATAAGCCAACTAACAAAATTATTTTGTTTAATTTAAAGACATTTCATCATCAGATTCATCACAAACAAAAATTTATCAGTAAACTGCGCTCAACCTTACCTTTGGGGTTGATCACTGAACCAGCAGGAGGAGTAACGATCGGTGGTGGCGACGCCGGCGCCAGAGCTGTAACTGCAGATAGTTTATAAAAAGGGTACATTTCATACCTAATATGACAACTAAGAGACATTACTCTTCCTCCCACTTTTCCACTGCAACAACTAGGGAGACCTGATACGGCTCTTCGGAGACACTTATTACAGTCCGTACTTGACAGGTACAGCGTGCACTGTGCCAGACTGTACAGGGTTTGAAACGCAGAAATATCAGTCTCTTTTGTGGCGAACCTTAGAGCGACTGACGCAGCCCGAGTGGTCGCATCGTTCATCACCGTCGCCACAGCATCGTTGAATTGGATCGGATCCATTGCATTATGAGTGTTCCACATACACATGCTCACCGAATCACCCTCGTTGAAGATACTCGGTTCGCCAGAGTAGCGGAGACGACATTCGTCGTACCAAATAACGACCTCATTCTCAATAAGGCACCGCCCCTCTACGTCCTTGGTAGCAAACATGACACAATTTTGACAAGTAGAGGGCGAAACGTCGCCGCGACAGAGGTAGTCACCGTAGACCCTGTTGGGGTGCTCCCCGAAGGTGGTATTGTAGAACCCATTGGCGGCTGTGGCGGTGCCATTGGAGGAGAGGGCGAGGAAAAGGTTGTAGAGGTTGGATTGGACCGATGTGTAATTGCTGCCAGAGGGGTAAGTGGTCTTGTTGGAGCAATAATGGAAGAGGTAAGTTGGGCTGTCGTTCAGAGCTTCAGTGATGAGGCTGCGCAGGGAGAGGACAAAAAGGGTAGTGAAGAATCTGAAGAGAGACATCGTTAAGCTTTGTTCCATTTTGAGAAAGAATAAGGCAACTGAGCTCCCAATGGACGCGCTCTAACTTCTTTGTTTTTGTTTTTGTTTTCTTAGTATCCGGGGAGCATCAAACATAATATGCATCCGGGGGAAGAGGTTCCTTTCTTCAATTTGATTCTGAAGCGCCGAGTACTTGAGTGGTAAAGGTCCAACCAGGTGTCTTGCAAAAATATTAATATTAATAAAAGTAATAATGACCGAGGAAGATCCCAAATTTATTATCAATTAAAATGTTACAAACAATATCAATAATTTGTTGGGTTAAATAAAAAAATTTTGATTTTTTAAAATTTATATAAAAAATATCACAAATAATAATAATAATA